TTTTTGACGTAGGCTAAATCAAAGGCAGGGAAGATTTAGGACACAAATTGGACTGTACATCCAATTCCCGATTCATTTGAGCTTCAGTCGCAGTAACCTCTAGTAGGCATTCATATAATTTATTTGAAGACACCCAAGTCCTCGATTGTCTGTATATATACATCAAATCGTTCATTGTATATTCGGGAAAAATTATGGAGAAATTTTGCAATTTGACTATTTCACACTCCATATATACATGGTTGACATACGCGGCCAAAGCATAAAACTGCGCTGTTCTGTTTTGTCAACGAGCCTATATTAATTCATTCGCACTTACGGTAAAATAACTACTAAGTGGCAATTACTAACAAAATTCTATTTATTAACACCCAGCCTTTCAAATCATCTCGTCATCCACAAAAGAAACTGTAGCCTATTTTTGATGATATTGCTTGCCTGGGGAATATCCTTCTTAATTGCTACACTTCCGCTGTCTCCAAGTTTATCTGGAATGTTCGTTAGCCTCGCAGAATTTGAGTATTCTTCATATTCTTCAAACGCAACTGTTACACAAGACAACACTAAAAACACTTTTTACGAGTCTTCTTACATATGATCTGAAACCGAATACGACATTTCCAGGTGATGAGTCTAGTAGACCTCTGCTTCGAAAAGTGTTGTTATTGACTTTAAAAGCCTTATTTTTAGACCACAAGAAAAAAAATCAAGATATATATTGCAGTTATGTACATCAAATATATTTGATCCGAAACATATGAGCAAAAAATTATGTAAGATTCAATCACATAATTTTAACTCTATTACTAGTCAAATGATGAGTTTAGCCACAATATACTGCCCTGTACCTGGAAGTATTTCAATATATATTTATTTAGATAAGCTCAAAATTATATTTAAACAGGTTTTATAGACGAGTTTGCAGAACTACGCCATTATTTTAAAGATCTTCATGAATAGAAAATCGAATCTCGTTCATTAATATTCTGTTTTCAATTTTCGACAAATTTTCAGTCACCAACTTTCAGTCATGGAAAGATATTGAATCCAAATCAAAAAAGTATTTTGACCATGAACATTTCAAGATTAAGAGAACATTTGGGTAAAATAATCATCATATATTTTGCACTGTAAACTGTGTGAACACCATTATGTTGAAGTAAAAATGTTCGACAACGCGATGTCATAGCCGGAGTCGATTTCTTTTTCAATCTGAATCTCGAGTGAAGACGTTGGTCAACTAGTAATCGGCTACTTTTTAAAGAATTGGAAGTCAGGAGTGTGAGATGTAACTTCATTCAAACTTTCTCTTTCGCTGTTAACGTTTTCAAATTTTTTGCTTTCGTGTTTGTCGCATTTTCCTACGTCGCAATTTATATCAAATCAAGCGAAAAAAAAAGTCCAAGAAAACCTTCATTGTCTAATGATATAAAGTTATAAACGATGGAAATAGAAGTGGGAGAAATTTTCTAATTTTTTTTCGTTCTTCATATTTTTAGTGTTCTAGCTTTTTTTTTTGATAAATTTTTTCATTCTCGGATATTTTCAGCAATGCAGCGAAAGATTCTCCGACTCATCCTAACTGACTTCTGTTGTTGGATACCGATCTGTATCATGGCCTTCTATAAACTAGGAGGAGCAAATGTTTCAAATACAGCATATGTCGTCGCAGCAATCGTGCTTCTACCGATCAACAGTGCACTAAATCCAGTTCTGTATTCAGACCTGCCAGATACTTCATATAAGAAAGTGACCACTGGATTTAATGAAATCACAAGCTTGACAAGTTCTTTTTTCACCGCGTCGACCAGTATAAACGTGAGAACAAATGGTGAAGAAAGTTTTTTTGTAAGGAAGGATGCTGACTGGGTAAAGGAACAAAAAAAAATTAAATTTTTTTTTATCTTATGACGAGATGGCGGAGACTACTATTTGTTCTATATGTGGTGTTATATAAAATATTATCGTTCAAATTCATTTGTACAAAATTCATAAATGTAAATTATATAATTTTCTTTGTATGTATCAAGAAAATCTAGCTCTCAGACTGCATCTGTGTTGATGATCTGGTATTTCACTCAGAGTCTGTAGTTCGTAATTAACGAACGTATACGTACGAAACGTATACAGACTCTATACATTACCTGAAGAACATTGAAATCAAATCAGCAGGCGCCATGGGGCCATTGCAGTCAAGCACCGCAAGATTCAAAATTGTCAGATTGTGAAACAATTTTTAGTGATTAAATATTAATACCTGGATGCAACTATCCCCTGCATATCTATATATTTTAAATTTGATTGAAAAGAAGATGATGATATGTTTGTTTACATGCTATAGAGCGAATGCATTACTCCCGGAAACATTTTGGAATGCTTTACCCAGCATGCCAACATCATAATATTTACGAGTACAGTTCCATTTCTGATGGGAGAATGTGCATAATTCTTCAAGGTGGTGCGCTTGAAAATTACAATTCTAGATTCCTACTATGTTGCTTTATTGGATAAACGTGGGGTTATTCAATAAATTATTCAGATATTAAAAACAGGATCATCCAAATCCACGGACAAATAGCCATGTATACGTAATTTTACTGTGTGGCCCAGTGATTTTTGGATGAATAACAAGAGGTGGGAAATTGTGCTGACTTGCGAGGCACATCGTGATCACTAAAATAAGCTGAGGGCACACTTTTTGATGGAATTATTGATTATATATATTTGAATCGCTTTTTTAATTCGCTATATATAACTAACAGCCAACAGTTTATTGAAACTGAAATGCAAGCACATTCAATTTTCAAAATCTAGCAATAAGAAAATGCACCCTATTACTTTGAAAGTTTTCGAGTCATTGAGTTTGAAAGCAGGATTTTTGTTGAGAATCTCATCAAAGGCAGCAAACGTCTGTCAAGGACCATTTATATTTAATTTTGTTGACCTTCATATATACATGGAATTTGTTCTGGTAGAGGGGAATTTTTAAGTCAACCAATGTTTTTTCGTGGAACATAATTTTTCATTTCCCCATCCTAAATTGCCAGAAGTATATATTACAAATAATGTTTTTAGGTAACAAAACTCTATGCAGAATAGTACGAGTCGAAATTTTATCGCATTTTATTTGCTCGTGGCTTCCGCTGGCACTGCACGTTTCGGTGACACGCCGTTCGCTTTTTGCCGCCTTCAACATTAACTATAATGTAGTCTAATCCTAGTGAGTTTTGTTCTTATCTACAGTAGCTCTAGAAGGGCATCATATATATTGCGTTGAATACTGTTTTATTATGACATCATTACTTGCTGTTTTGAAACTTACGGAATGTATCAGCTCGTTTATAACATCAACAAACATCATTTCAACTATAATGAATAATTAAATTTCTATGTGAATTAATTGAAAGTAATTCAATTTTATTTCTTATTTTATTGATTTTGACAATAAAAAATAAAAGATTGAATTGGTGGCATCGCATATAACAACATACTGATTCGTACATACTGGAAGAGGAAGGGTTGTTTTTGCCAATGAAGCTGCGTTTGATGAATGCTTGCAAGATGTAGATTGTAGAAGGTTGTTTGTTGTTAAAACTTAGGACCATGACCTGGTATTTAGCGTAGAAAAAGTTGTTGGAAGTCTGGTCGGATTTTTTGAATAGAATAAAGATTAAATTGAGATTTATTGGAAATTATTTAAAGATATCTTTAGTGTATATATATATAACATTTCGGGAAGTCTTCAAATATATTGAATTGAAGCGATATTGAATTTCTTTCGATATCGGTATTGAAGTTATTTGAAATATCTTGAAATGTCATGGTTAATGAGTTTGGTTCTAAGAATTTCTCAGTAGGAAGTCAAGCACTTAATGCACGTCAGTGCATATCACCGACATATATATCGGTGTTTATGACACCGATCAAAACTGTTTTTATATTAAAATTTCCGAAACATCGAAGTTCAGTTTCATGACAACTAATATGGAAACGTCTGGAAAATGAATTTTGTTCCGCTCTGCTATCATTTATTGTGCTTGAGTTCCTTTGTTGTTTTGTTAGCAATTAAATAAAAGAAATTTTCAAAACGTCTTTCTGATAAACTTTATATCAAATTTTCACGGCTTATGACAATAGAAGTGGCCATTGTTACTCAAAAAGATGTAGTGAAGAGCGAGTGCAATAGACCAGGGCTACTCAACTATTTTAACCAAAGGTCCGTTTAGAAAACTTCAAAATTACTGGGATCCGGACAATACAGAATATTTTTTCATTAAATAAACGAAACGTCAAATGATGGCTTGCAAATATAGACACAATTGTCGCATATTGGTACCAGTACGACAAACTGTATAGATGTGTATTTAAATTGTATCAAAATCATCTAAAACTAAAACGATGCTTATGCTGTCAAAAAAAACAAGCAGACGCGGTCCAAATTAAATGGTCGAAAGGTCCGGATTGGACCGGGGTCCGCTAGTTGAGTAGCCCTGGAATAGACTATAGTCTGTACATTACTCTAACAAGTAAATTTCTAAGGGTTTCATAGTTTGATCGTTGGTAAAAAGTACCAAATCAAGTCTCAGTTATACTGTATATTACCTGTTGTTAGTATATACCAATTTTACTCGACACGTATATAAATTATGTCTTCACCAACGTGTATCAAAATGTGATAGTGTCTTTCGTAGATCATTTCAATAAAATTAACCAAAATTTTGTTTAATTACTCTGACATGACAATGTACCATGTAGTGTTGTCAGATTAACCTATATCAGCATATTGATTCCATATGACGTCAAATTCTAAACTGTATTCTAAATTTAAACTGAATTTTAAATTTCATCTAGTTTCATAGCCAACGGCGTCTTACTCTGTAACAGAAGTCCGGCTTAAATTTCAATAAATGTGTCGGTATGGATTATATTCTAAGCCGCTGTGCGTAAGAATTATGCAGATTAAGACTGGACACAGAGGAAAATAAGTTTTATGCGCGGAGAATATAAAATATTTGACTACTTTAATTGTATTTTAAAGTACGTCGTAATAACGAATACGTATCTATATTTATTACACGTCTGAATGTATGTTTTACGTCTCCAATCGGCGCACGACGAGTGTTACAAATGTAAATTACATATTAAAGAGGTAAATGCTCAAGAAGTATGCAGTTTTATACCGTTCAATAATATATATAGAATAGATTTAAATAAAGAAACGAATGTGTCGATTGAAGTGATATGTTATAGATACGTACGAGTATGCTATTGCATTAGATATGAACGTCTTCCGGAACATATCCTGCTAAGTGTCTTTTTCTGTCATCGAAAAGAGTTAGAATTAGGCTTGCCATATACCTGAAGCAAAAAAACACGACAGTGCTGATTGGACAGACCGATCTTGGGTCGATTCCGAAATTTTGTTTGCGCCTACAATTCACTCCTCACCGCAATTGTTTGCAGCCCCTGGGACACATTCTTGCCGTACACTGATCGCATGTTGTCAACCATATCGTTATGTAAAAAGTTAACACAATAATATATACATTGCAAATACAGTGAGTGACGCGGTGATATGTGCATTACTGTCAATGATGAATCAATGTTCAAGGCTACGGTTCCCATGGGACAGTCAGATAATTCAGTTAAGCGTTGGTCACTATCAAAAACACGCAGTTGATTGCGTGGATTTTTAGAGAATTTAATAAATACGTTTTTTTATCAATACAGGAATTTGTAACTGTTTTATAATCACAAGTTTAATGGGATGTTAATCATAAAAACCGTTTTAACAGTTGTCAACGCAAAGCTACTCTTTTATTATATATATACGTTTCCCGTTACTCACAATTCATTTCCTGATTGAGCATCAGTCGACGCTTGCGATAGATGACCTTTGCATTGATGCATAGCGGAAGCGCATGATTTACAATACGCTATCTTTCCAAGTACGCATTATTCGAAGATTATTCGTGTTTTGAAAAACAAAAAAATTTGAGCAACCTATTTTAAGAAACTGGCGATCTCGAAATACAGAAGATTAGACACAATTGTGGATATCCACCGTTCGTCACACTTGCTGGACACCAATAGTTTTGTAAAACGATAATATCCTGCTGGATTAAAGCTGAATTTGATCTAGCAGAATTAAGTTTCTGAAAGCGCCATCAAGCATCTATTATAGATGAGCGTATAGGAAAACTGTATCGTTTTTGTTATTCTATAAAATACAATTACCTGAAAAGCACTGATCAGTGATAAAGATTTTGCAATAACAATTTCTGTGTACTCACATACAGAGTCACAGTGCAACTGTGTTGTCAAACGAGTTGGTAAACGGAAAGAAAATTAGAGTGGGCCTGAAAAAACTTTTCGAGATGTTTTATTTGAAGTTACAAAAAATAAAGGGTTAGGAATAATTTATTCGATTGTTATTTTCGCTTTCATATGACACAGTTTTTGTGCGACTGAAGTGCATTAGACTTATTCCAATTATCATACAAATATTAGGAACTGGAAATATTGTTTATTCATATTATTTGAAGCAGTTTTGATGATAATCATGCAGTGTCTTGCAATATTAATAACTTGCAGTCAACACCTTACAGCTTTTGGTTGATTATTTTGGATATTCGAGACGAAAATTGTTACTTGAAACCAACAAAATAAGACAACATAAGAGACTCCGTTTCGTAGTACCAATGTTCTAAACGGACAAACAAAATATAATATTTCCCGATTATTGGTCACAAGTTTTAAAAAAATTTAATTCGGCTATTCATTTACAGGAAATGGTAGCGAATACAGGAAAGTACTCAGGATTAGGGTAACTTCATGCACATCTCAAATATTGTGGGAAATAATATCTAAAACAAAAATGAAACTTATATGGATTATTGTTCACTATATTTTGACGGCGAAATTTACGGCACTTGCTAATGTAAACGACACAGGTACACACTTATTTCTTTATATTCAATACTGGTCAATTTTTGCTGGTTTTTTGGTTAATTTAATACAAAGTTCATTTAGGCTAATTCCTCGGTCGATAACTTAGGCATTCCAATCGATATAACTAAAAAAAGTTGAAAATACATTTTATTCTGTGAGCGAAAATTGTATTTTTCATTTTGTTCAGAAATACACGAGGTAATCATGATCAAGCCTAGATGTCTTGAAAATGAAACGGTGTTTCACGCATTATTTTGCAACGATAAACTAAAATGCAAAGATGGGATTCCAATACAAGATGTTTATGCTGAGTGGCAAATGTAAGTATATTTCTATTGTATAAATTCTTTTGATCCAAGAATATCATGAATTCAGGATATTATATACAAGCAGTCCGAACCCGTTCTTGGAATGTTGTGATATTAAAGCGAACCCTCCTTGTTTTTACAGCTATAAGTTTGGGTTCCTAAAATGAGGGAACCTATACTTTTAGTGAGTTCAATACAAAAAGAAGCTGATTTCTGAAATTTTAAATCCCATCACATTGTTTAACTGCCATTATTCCTTCTGCATTCACATCCCTCCCCATATTGTTCGTTAATTTCCTATCTACAGATTGAAATTTATAGTCTGAATCTGAGCTTAAATTAATAATGTAATGGTAAACGAATACTTATGTGTAAATAAATTATTATATTATATTCGGAGGAATTCTTCCATAAAAATCGGTCATTAAATCTTATTTTTTATTGTCATAAACGTGTTTCATAACGTCTCAGAAAGAGTCAGTTTGTCCGTAGTGTGAGTGAATGCGATCATGACATGCCGTCCGAATCTGTGTCTGTGGGCAATGATTCATTGTAGTATTGAACTATCGTTTTCACGTTTTCCATTAACATATTCACATATTTTCAATATCAGATGCGAATTGTTGAGGAACAGCAAAACGCAGTATTGTGTGGTAGAAAGAGACGAAATATGTAAAGAGAAAGTCGTATGTTCAAACATGAATCCATGTGATGCAAGATGTGATTCTCATTATAAATGTCAGGTGAAAGATTCGGACGATTTTGTCCCAAAGAGAGATTTGAGAGTCTCTGGTGCTCTCGGAGTTTTCTAAATGTTCTATAAACAGTTTGATCAATGAACTCCGGATAAGCTTTGACTTGTCGTATGGGTACTCAGTTTTGTAACGAAAGCTTTTTTGTTTCACTCCTGGTAAATCTATGTTTAGACATTTAGTTGACCTGTTTAGGGATTAGAGCTAAAGTTGGTAAACTTAAATTCTTGCGCTCACATGACTACGTCAATACATCAACTACTAAATTGTACAGAATTAAATAAATGCAGTCCGGTCGCATCAAGTATTTCGTACTTGTTTAATGTGAAAAATGTATTGTAGAATTCAGAATGCAAGCTTCGTAGCACTGTGTGTAATAAGAATGCTTGTGATGGTTGCACAGAAGAAGATCACGAATGGAATAACGGAATCGGATTCAAATGTCGAAGAAATGGCGAGGATTGTGTCCTGCCTCAGCAATTAATTCATGATGACATAGCAGACTGTGATGGAGGTGCAGATCTATGTTTTAAAGCGCAGATTTCTCGGAAAACTAGTTTAAGGTGAGTTAATCCATTTTGAATCTGCATTAATGGTGACTCGTGACCTTTTGAGGTGCTTCTCACGTGACTCGTGTCTCGCTTGACTCACTTCATTCGCATTGTTCGTTCTGAAATTGACCATCTTTGCTGTTGAGATTAAATATAAAACTCTCTTACAGGCAGCCTTGTTTTCGTTACATATAAAAGCCCGCGATTTTTGATTTTTTGTTATATGCATATCCCATTTACTTTTAGAAACATAAAATTTCTTTTTTAATTAATCACATGACTTCTACTCTGCAAATGTGTCGGTAAATTAATGCCCACAGTAATCTGAAACATAAATGATGCTGAATGGTATAAGTGATTTTAATGAAGTTGAAACTCGAAAATATGATTCTCTCAGAGTAGAATTTCCTATCAAACACTCTTGAAATCAGGAACAAGAACATGGTTGTCCAAATCCCTGCCCGCGGGCAGTGGCGTGCCTAGAGGGAGGGGCGAAGGGGGCAACCGCCCCGGGCAGCACATTGTAGGGGGGCAGCAGAACCAAGCTGTAGAGTTTGCGTTATTACACATGCTCTTCTAGATGTGTTCCTATTTAATTAAAAGCTAACATTATGTGTTCTGTGGTAATGGTTATTCAACAAGAGTTGTTTCCCCGACCCATGACCTCAGAAAAAATTTTCCTATATTTTACAATTGCAACATTATTGATGCTTAGTTTAATAAATCAAACGTTTCTTTCCTACTTGAGTATTATTTGATTTATTCTCGTGTATGACGACATCTATAATCTGTTTATCACCCAAATTATTTTAGAAGTTAGGTTTAAGGGGCAGCATTATCAGAAACTCGCCCCGGGCAGCAGACTAGTTTGGCACGCCCCTGCCCGCGGGCCACGTGTGACTTGAAGCATCATGATCTGTGACTCGAGTCGCATTTGCTGGAGGGTAATAACAAAAATCGCATTTTGGTATTGTTACATCACTAGCTGAGACACTCAGCAAAGTTGAATAGTGTGCTTGACTGGTCTAAATTGTTAACTAGCTTCCTATATCTTCATCGGGAATATCCGCAACAATATAGGCTACATGGAAAACTAAAAATCGAATAGGGAATCTATTACCCTATTGGTTGGGTATGCCTACTGAAAGGTGTTTCAACCTAACAATACACTCCGTGCCGTGCCTTTTGCAACCAGGCTGGACATTACCACAAAAACTGCTGTCCATATGTCAGAAAATTTGTAATAACCCTCCTGTACTTTACATTTGGCATAATTTAGTTATTTTGTAACATGAGTTTGGTGAAAAAGCTGACCAATTCATTAGATTTTTGACTGGATATGGGAGGGAGAATACCACAATGCTTTATTTGTCTGCATGTTCTGTCGTTGCCAAAAGATTATATATAATCAAAATGGCATTTTGGAATCCTGTGAGCAATGAACATTTTCCAAAGTTGAGGGGTTTTGCTTTGTGAATATCGATCTTCAAAAGTAATTTCGTGTAATTTCCTCGAGACTGAAATCTAGTTGATATATATAGAAAGATTTTTGCACGCGTTAGTGAGTTTTTTGGTGTTTTTTACGTCCTATTGAGTTTTGGTGGTTTTTTCTGCTCGTTTCGGCGAGTTGTTTGGTGTTTTTATGCATGTTTTCGCTTAAATCAATGACAAAGATTATCAATTTGTATGAACAATAAATGTTTCTGTTTTATATTGCGCTGCTTACCTATTCTTGACAATATTGTGGCCTTCAGGTGAATTTTTGTGCTATTCATCTTTGTACTTCTCAAAAAGTGAAAAGAGAGAAAAGTTTCCAAGTTAAATAGTAGGAATACTTCCGGTAACGTTATAATTATTACCAAGATAAATGCGGGCTAAAACATGACAACGTAACAGTTAATTTTATGATTAATTTGCAGTGGTGAGAAACTAGTCTTTTTTCGTATTAGTACTTGACATTAGTATAGTTTTAACTGGAAGGATTTCAAACTGTTACCTTTGGCTTCTTTTCACCTGTCTTGCTTACAATACCAGTGACAAAATACAGGGAAATAAAAGATCAGTATTATATTTTTGCGGAAAAGATGCTATAGCAAGTTCTTCGTTAATGTAAAAATCGTTTATTCATAAATGACATTTAAAACATACTTGACAGGAGTCTTGGGTGAAATATCAAGGAACGAAAATATTATAACAAACCTATGATCATTATGTAAAGCACAATTTTTTTAATAATTTAGAACAGAACTACAACATCGCGGAGATCTCGATCTTTCTAAATGTTTCATGTGCTTGAATGACGTCACTGTGATTGCTTCAACAAGTGTTTGTGACGGAATAATAGATTGTCCGGATCTATCTGACGAATGTCTTTGTGATAAAAGTCGACCTAGCATTTGTGAACAAGTAATTTCATATGATGAAAATGTGAGAAAATACTGTTTTTAGTTTGTATGCGGGTTTAGGAACACAGTACGCCGCATGATACTTATCTATGCCATCAGTACTGTAATATTGTTTGCATTTGTACTTGGCTAACCATATTCACTTAGCGTACTTGAACGTCTTATTTTAAAATCTAATAAACGTTTTTTTCGTTACTGTATGTTAAATTGTCTAACTTATTGTTATTTACAGGGATTTCTTTCTATAACTATGGTTGCTCCACCAACTACAGAGACCGGACTTACCATGACATGGTATGTAGTACATCTAACTATGAGTGCTCTCGGATATTTGTATGTATTAGATTTATATTCTAAAATTCCGAGTACAAGAGTAATTATTGACAAAACTTCCCATTTAAAAAGCATATTCATTATACTATTGGCAACAAATGACTTAAGGGCAAAACATAATAGCCCATACAGCGTAGTTTCTCACGTCATAAAGTAACCCTACTGTTTTACCTCACCAATGGCGCCAGTTCGTTTTCGCAATTACCCGATCTGCAACCTGTGGGTAAGACATCGCATTGCAGTTTTACTTGCCGCAGAATTACATTACCATACATTTTATGGGTTCAGTCTATTCTAGAACTTAAAAGAGATGTCACTAAATTTATATTAAATGTAATGGTGTATGATATCCATATCCCCAAGACCGAAATCCCGAACAATTTTTAATAAAATTTTAAATACCAATTTTGGATACTTAAAGCTTGGCTTGGAAAGCACTAAATGAAGATAGTCAGATTTAACAAGCAATACCAAGCTTTTCATTCTAAATTAGCTTTCGAGAGTTGCAATATTGGTTGTTGCTGTCATTTAAATCGCACATCTTAAAGTTGCATGTACCAATATCGAAAATAACGTAGCGACAAGTAAGATAAATTAACCACTGGCCTGGAAGCAATGCTAATCTGAAACAAATATATCGAATCTTATGTTCAACTCTGAAAAAATATTATTCCATAGATATAGGTAAGATTTCTTTGATTCACCTCAAATGTTGCGCAGTGTGAAAATGGCATGTTCCAAGTAGAAATTATAATTCTGAAACATTCGGGTTACCAGCCATAGAAAAATAGCGTTGAGTAGCAATGTTACTTAAACCTTAGACTTTAATAGGATACCAGATATCACCTAATACCTTTCAGTCAATCTTCATCTATAGAGCGCTGGAACAAATATTGAAAGGAAATTTATTAGTCCCATCACTTATTCCACTTTCTTTCATTAAGGTTTTCAAGCGGAAAATACACAGATTGTAATGTTGGTAACGTGATTTGCGCAGGGGGAAATTGCATCAATCCAGAGTCAGTTTGTGACGGTACAATAGACTGCCGAGATGATGAAAAGTATAAACGCATATAAATTTATTTTGGTTTAATATTTCTTTGCGTCAATAACCACTTTTATCTGTTTTTAAATTATTTTCATGTTTAGATACGACTTTTGCCGCGGAACTGTACCTTGTTCCAGCGCCATAAAATACGAAACGAAATGCAGGTAGTTTAAACAATTGGGTATATCAGTATGATGAATTATTTTTTTGAATAGAAACTAGTTGAATAAACAGTGAATTTGTGAGCGATCTTTGTACATTACCCGCTCGAACTTTATGACAGCTTCAAGTTCATCGGGAATAGTTATGTGCTGGACTCTTCACCGCTGTTGGGTCGTCACGTAACCGTAAACTAATACTATACGCGGCATGGTCTGGTAACCGGTAGAGAAACCGTGGTTTGCCATATGATAAAGCCGACTCATCCATTTCCTCTTCTCTGTGATAAACATAAAAATCTCATGTTAGAATACCTTAAAAAATTATCATGAGTACAGGGTGTGCTAGATTTGATATCGCGTTGGTAAGGTGCGACACCAACCACAAGGCTGATTATTTTATCACTTAGTTGCTGGACTAATCTGCGAGTTAGAATCAATAGTTTTATTTTCATCGTTTTCCTCTCTTGAGAGATGAATAGGAAATGGTGTCTCACATTAAAATTGCAATACTCACGTATACATAAAATTAAATAAAAACATTATCTTTATTCAGATGTTCTCGCGGTAGCCACACTTGTGTAAATATTCATGGAGTAGCTTGTGACAGTGTGGCAGATTGCCATATTGGGCCACCTTCTTGGGGTTCTATTGTTTCTGCAACTCAAAATTCGTTTCCTGATGATGAGTGCGAAGCTAGCTGCTTTGAAACCTTTACAAATTTCACGTGTATTCATGAATCAATACAATTGGTAGGGGTTCCAGAGGCATATATCCCATGCGAACATCATTTGGAATTGGATGCCAACGAAAGTATAATAATAACCAAGGTAAGCATCAATTTTTGATGTATATATCACTTGGTTACTTTGTTCAAAAGATGAGATATCTAATGCAATTTACTCACCAGATATTGCTATATTACTGTCAATACTAGACAGAAATATCAAAACCGATAAATTAGCGAAGTAGGTGAAGATGTAACTGATTCCCCGGTTATATGGATTTGAGTGAGCGGAAATTCTATTCATCAACAAATGTTTTTCATTTTATTAAATAACTATGGTATATATAGACTATAGAGTCTGAATATTTATTTTTGTATCTAAAATATTATGTTCTGTTGTTAGCATCTGGAATCGAAGTTTGTCTGTGATGGAAGACTACATTGTCAACAGGGCGATGACGAAAAAAATTGTGATAGATTTTTGTGTGATGGGAAAGAGGAAGGTGTTATAAGTATAGAGTATGACGAGGCACGACAATTTATTTCATTGTGTTACTAAACATTGATTTACTTTACGCCATATTCGTCTTTTGTCCAAATCTTTGCAATACATAACTTCATTCCCTATTGTAAACATAGATTTTCTAAACAGTCATTTTCAGAGTGTTATATCCAGCCATATTTCAATAATTACTGTACACGAAATGAACTTATACTTCGTTTTGTTATAATGTTGTTGTTCTTGGTATTCTTTTCTTGTGGTTAAAACAAAAATCGTTTTTATTATTCGAATACTGGACCAATTGCATTGAAATTTAGTGGTTAAAGATTGTGTTTGTCCCAGAAGGCTATTACTTTTATTTGTTTCAAAAATTTCTGTGGCAACTATGGGATTCGTTTCTCCTTGGGTGATGACGTCTTCAAAATTAAAAACTGTCCACCTTCGGTCAGTCGAAGAGGGGTATAGAGTTCTGCATCACATACCATTTAGGGGTATATTTTTCCATGGAGTTTAATTTCTCAAATCTTACCCATTTTATTTTGTTTTAAAGTCGATCTGTAATATTTCTGAATCAAAATTGTTGTGAAAGGAAAATGTAGAATTATATTTTTAGAGTGACATATGTTGCATCTTTTTTGTAAAATTTTATCATAAATCATAGTTTTAAAAATATTTAACTGTTATATAAATTCTTTTCGATTCCAAACCGGATTGTTTCAAATTTCCACCGTAAATCGTTGCAAAAATCAAATTTGAACGGCTCGGTTTTATAGCCAGAGAAAATTTGAATTCGCTTTATATAAATCATTACACATGCAAAATTACGCGTTTACAAGTAAAACAACTCATGTAGTAAATTGATGATAATTCATTTGAGCAACGATTTCATATTATTTTAGGTATGTGATGGAATTGAACATTGTAAAAATGGTTCTGATGAATCGATAGAACTTTGTGCGGAAAAGAGATTTCATTGTCCTGCACTTGGAGGAAAAAAGGTTAATAAAATATCGCAGTATTACATTTTCATAGTATTTTGATTAAAACCAAACAAAACTTTCAACATATCGTTTTGGCAGTAAACCTAAGTTGACTTAGGAGATTTTTCGTGAAGAATTTTCAATTCTATAATTTAGATCCTGTTTTACAGCGATTTATGTGTTAGCTTGCCACTGATAACGCCGAAATATCATTCATCGACATTAAATCTAAATAACATGATTTGTGATCAAACTTATTCGTGTCAGCTATAGGGAGTACAAAATCTGACATAAAACCTTCATATCAGACGTGGTGCATTTCAATAACGCATTTAAGGCCACTTTGTCCTTGGGTCGAATCATTTCATGCATGACTAAAGTTCCGCTACTATGTTGTTACCGCCATAAACACCTACAGCGTCACTGCTTTCTATTCAAAAGGAATTATGGAGCAATGAAAACCTGATATTGTTAACTTAAGAACTAATGTTTGACTAATCCCCTTGGACAGTTATATTTACTTAACATTTTTTTGTAACAAGGTTTTTTTGTTGTTACTATTTTAATAGATCCATCACCATTGGATTGTGTACCCATCGTCTGTTGTTTATGACCAACTAATTTTATTAAAATAATATATTCGAAGGTTAGCATCGATGTTGGATTGAAATGCGATTTTTTGATAGCTTGTGATGACGAAACAGATGAAATGGACTGTACTGATGGACGATTTTACTGTGAAAATAAAAAGCCATTATTTGTTCTGGCAAAGCAGGTAAATATCATCTATAATATGAAAAGCTTCAGATTAACGCGACGTTACTTAGATGTCAGTGGATTACCGTTGGCACAGAACTTGAAGCACTCGACCCTACAATGCCAGGAAAATTTAAATTAATTATTGCAGAATTTGCGTCAGTAATTAGTTGATATAGTTATATATTTGTTAGGACACTGTAAGTTTATTTTATATTCCGGCTGTAGCACATAAGTTCTTCAAGAGCATTATTCATATTTGGTGCATGCATTTTCAGAAATTTGATGGTCGTGGTGACTGCACAGATTGGAGTGATGAATGTCCAACAATTGACCAATCAACTTCAACTGATGGTTTTTCGTCAAGATATGAACTCATTGCAAATCCTATATTACGGGCTGTTGTGTGGATCATGGGGTTGTTATCTCTTGGTGGAAATGGGGTATGCAGTTATCTATATATATATATATGTGAAATTAGGAGAACAAAGGGGAACATAAAATTAACCACAACCAAACACATATTGATCACTAAATAAATTGCACTCGCGAAGTTGTAGAACTCGCAACAGTCGCAAGTACATACTTCAGTTCAGTTCGCTAATTATCGAAATTAATTAAGATTAGAATTCTTGAAGTATTTAGTATTATTTTAGTAAACAATTCCATTTTGATTTTTCTCGTTGTCTAGGTTGTTATTTTCCATGAAGCAAGAAGACTGAGGAATAGCAACAGAAAATTGACAGCCATCGTAATAGCAAATAGATTGCTGATTTTAAACCTGGCCTTCTCTGACGTCATCATGGGAATATATCTTCTATCGCTTGGGATTGCTGGCCTCGCCATGCAGGTATAAAAACACTTTCCCATTACTAAACCAAATAAAGTCTTTACCTTAATGGGATATGTCTCATCATGTATTATCTGATATTATCGACATTTAATTTACAGGGCGTATACTGTTCTAGAGACTTAATTTGGAGATCAAGTGCAGCATGCACGACATTGGGAATTTTATCGGTTATTTCAAGTGAAACCTCGGTTATAACAATGGTTCTGCTGACTAGCTGTCGGCTTTACGCAATTTTTCAAGTGAGCATTATAATCTTCTTATGATTTATTCAGATATGAATTAGACTAGGAGAAATCCAAAGTTATCCGAAATCAGATATAAGGATGTTCTACGTTGACTAATTACTGCATTTATTCATTTCCAGCCCTTTAAATCATCTCGTCACCCCAAAAAGAAAACAGTGTCTTTGATGATCATGATAGGACGATATCATTTTTAATCGCCATACTACCGCTTTCTCCACATTTGTCTGGAATGTTTGTCAGTCACGCAGAATTTGAATATTCTCCATACTCTTCAAACGCAACAGTCACATTGGATGAGACTAAATCACTTTTTACAAGACTGCTGACATATGATCTCAAGCCCAATATGACGTTTCCAGGTAAGTTGCCTTGTTAATTCGCCGAGAGAACAAGCTTACCTTTGGTATTTGAAGCTAATAATGTCACAGGTTAACATGGAATTGAGGTTTTGCTGTCTACTAATCTATACGAAATTTTTCTCTTCAAGAGACAAATATTTAATGTCATACATGAGTGATCTCATATGATAAGCAACTCATTCACATGACATTCATTCTCACAATATAGTACGAAGTTGTGTGAAATATACACTGTATATTGCGCCCTGATTAAATCTCGTCTGGTATTACGTTTTCTTGCGGACTTGTATAACAATTTTGATATAACAAATTCCTTTTTTGTGAATTTCGGTATCAGTTATTGGAAGCATCGTCCATTTCTACAATGGTTGGTAGTACCTCCAATTTTTAATTTAAAAATCTTGAATAAAAATTATGTATGTGGATTTAAACTTGTCAAATTTATTCAACTATCATTAGAATGCCGATTTACACTTTTTTGCGAGACAGCTTGTAGGTTGAGAGTTTGTATTTGAATTTAGTAGCTTTGTTTATCAGAAAAACAGCATTTTCATGAAAATCTGTTTTTTTTATGACAGATAAATTTTCCATGAAAAATTTCCAGTCATGGCAAGACATTGAATCGGAATCAACCAAATATTTTCTTCATGAACATTTCAAGATTCGAAAGAAGTTTGGGTAAATACGTTGTTGATTTCTCATTCCCGTATGTAATCTGTTCCTCCTCAACCGCCGCAAAAATCGGCTTTTACGAACGTGACATTTAAGTGAAAAAAATCAAATAGTTAGTTTCTCCTTTTTTGTTTCACTTTCGATGTTCCACCTACTTTATTTATATGGAAGCGTTCCTCTTACTCATCGTAATCATATATATTATTATTATATGATATTTCACGTTTATTTAGAGAACTTGTGACATATTTACATGTTTATATCTGTAGGAGCGTATGTAAATAATTAAGTTTCATGTGTATTTTAAACTTCAGATTTTCCCCGGATCAAATCTGTTGACGTGAATATATCTCTTTCTCTTTTATACGATTGCATCAATTGTACTGACAACTTAGAAGTAGTGAGCTACTAAAATTTGAAATGATCAGACTTTTCCTGATCCGACATAGCCTATCAAATTTGCTACAGCGTGGGTCTTGAAGCCGAGAGCTTTGGCACAAATTATCTATATCCATTAGAAAAGCTCACTACAACCACAAACCCAATGTCTGCACAAGTCATTTTCACGATTTCCAAATATTTTTCAGCCCGAGCATTGGTATTTTTGCGCTTAAGGAATTACCTATGTTATGAAGAAAAAATTTCTAATATCCGACCTCTTTGCAAACAGCAGTTTTCACTAATTTTGTTTGCCAACAATTCGATAGACCATATCAATTGCTTTTGCGCCATTTGGCAATCACTTCCTGGCGTTTATTGTACCAAATACATGATTTAGGACATCGAATAATTAGGATACCAAATAATTTTGTCTTTTATCCTGTCACTTTTCTAGATATTATAGTGTCGACAGCGTTTGCATTCCGAAATTTTTCGTAACCAAAGATGATCGGGCTTGGCCTTTTTCTTTCTTTGTTAACCTTTTCAACTTTTGTGCGTTCGTCTTCGTTGCATCATCTTACGTTGCAATTTATGTCGAGTCAAGAGAAGGGTCAAAGATCAGAAGAACTGCATCACGTGCGGAGAAAGACGATGGAAATAGATGTATGCATTACTTTGGGTTTCTTTTCATTTGGTTGCTAATATCGAACCTTTTTATTGAAAACATTTTACTGTTTTTCAGCTTTGCAACGAAAAATTCTCCGACTCATCATAACAGACTTCTGTTGTTGGATACCAATCTGTATCCTGGCCTTCTGTAAACTAGGAGGAGCAAATGTTTCAAATACTGCATATGTCGTCGCAGCAATCGTGCTTCTACCGATTAACAGTGCATTAAATCCAGTTCTGTATTCAGACCTGCCAGATGCTTTATATAAAAAGCTAAGCCAAAAATTCCATGGAATTGTGAACTTGCCAAGTTCTCGTTCTACCATGTCGACCGTCGTAAATGGACAAACAGACATAGAAGAAAGCAAATTGTAAAATCACTGCTGATTTTATCTATAATGGTTTCGAAACGCAGACATGGAAGTCAGTACATGAACAGAAACGTTTATTGTTACTCGACTGATTTGGTCATAAATTTGTTTATTCCGATGATATTATTTTGTACGTTATTGCTTTTTTTCTTATAAAATTAAACCACGGATCTCTCGTGGATCCTGTATCTTCTGTTGATAGTATATACATCTACCTCTACAAAACTTTGCTACCTCAAAACATTGGCGATTCACTATATTACATGATGCTGAATTGCACTTGAATTGCATGGCACGCGCATGTTTATTACTGCTGCAGCATTCTTGCATTATTCGCCTCTATTAGCATAGAAGCGCAGAAGATGGATAGAGAGATAGCCCTGCGCAACCCAATCAATATATGTTGTATTTGATTTTTTAATTGACTGCTAGACAGCCCAAATTTTTTTGCCTGGACTTGTGATTTATCTTTTCTGTTTCGGGAGGAGCTGACGAAAACATTGTGATTCATTAAAGGTTTTGCTAAAAAAGTCTTTATTTTATATTTGATTGTGTTGTGTAATTGGGATTTTGAAATGAACTAACACCAATGCATTCACAAAACTTGTTCTCTCGTAGTATCTGTACCAGGTTAAGGCCTTATTTTATCCCGTTTTTTATTTCCTTATCTCAGTTCTATTACGAGTTTGGGGCTGTCTGAGAGGCCCTTACCTGACAGCAGTTACATGAGCAAATATGAGACAGCGAGACGTCCAGCAATATTCACATGTGAAATAAAACTCAATTTGATTGGCAAGTCAGGATCCAACTGATTGGGGGTATCGTATCTGCTATGCAGTAAAAAAGTTAGGCAGGTAGTTGAGTTTAAAATAAAAATTTTGCGCAGAATTTGGTACAAGGTATATCGCGTGCGACACATAAGATCAGCTAACAAATCTTAATAGTAACGATCCCTAAACAAAGATTTGCTTTTACTTATTTAGGTTGTCAGTTCACTTTTATTCATACTTAACTATCACGCATACCTTCAGCCGTCACCAAAGCCCCATATGAAATTGCTCTTCCCCTACATAAATGGCAACATCCAATCTACTCTTTGTGGAACTTGAGTGACTTATACCATAGGTGGAATGCGTGCAGTTGCAGCAAGGTATTAGGATACCGACTTTTTGTAGTAGATTGAAAAGGGTTTAATATAAACCATTGAAGACGCCAATTTGGTATTTACTTGACTGCAATAGATTATTAGCTTTGTTTTGAATGATGATATCAAAAATATTTGTCAAATTTGTAATTGCTGAGACTTCTATAAATCGTGTTCCAGTGCGAGAATGACTCATATATAGTAAAGTTATGCATGGCGAAATCGGAATGATGAAACGAAGAATTTTTGAGCACTCATTGGGAAACATTCTGAATTTTCTTTCTCATAGAATTCATCCGCTAAGACTTGGTTTCCTCGCTTGCGACTCCAACCTAGTGGTGAACTTAGTTTTTCCCGGTCGCCTGGGTCAAATTTTGAATGATATATTTCTTGGACCTTTTTTCTGCGTAATGCTCGACATATGTGTCACCATCCTCCTTCAAGTCCATATCGTGGCATATCGAGTGGTTTCAAGGTCAGCCGTCTGAAGTTATCATCACATGCATTATGCAACTATTCAGGTATGAACACTTGTTACGTGCTTGTTTTAGTACCATTATGTATCGCTTTTGCTCGGATCACCAGACAACAGCAGTAAAAAACATTAGAGTTAGACGGTTGATAGAAAAAAAAAAATGGAGTTGTTTAGTCTTTACAGTGATACAAATTTTTATAAAGGCAAATAAAACTATTTTGCGACTTCTTTATATCCTGCCGTGGTTATGATTTTGATTTTCCAAGCAATTTCAATATCCTACTAAATTAAATCCCATGTTCCTGAGTTTGTTTGATAATTTAATCCCTTCATAAACCATGGAGCAGCGATGTCTAGTCCGCGGGAGGATTTGCTGCCGTATCTCAACTATACTATAAACCAGTGGTCGGCAACCTTTTTCAAGTGACGGACCGGTAAAGCCTGACTAAACTTTCGGTGGACCACCTTTATACAAACGGACTAAGCCTATGCAATAAATTATACACATTAGGAAATTCATGTTGGCAATATACTAAAAAACGAAAGTGATGCTATTTGATGCGATATCTGTATTTGTTTGCTGGCCATTAACTGTTCCCATATGGTCGACATTGACGCACTACATCCAGACTACTTTGTTATTTCCTTTTTGTAGTTATCATTATCAATATTGAAAACCAGGCCTCACATTAATAAGATTTCGGGAAAGAAGGTACCAATGCCTATAGTGTAAACCTTCTGACTCTGGTCTGGGTATTGATTGATGTTTGTTTTGCCAAAACTATTTTTGCCCGATGTGCTAACTTTATGATTATCCGGATTCTGAAGTATAAAATTAGCACTGACTAGGCATGACCGGTTAGCAATGAGCCAGTAGTGGAGTAGTCACGTTCTTAGCGAGAATTATTTTGTTACAGATATCTTATATATACCCAATGAGCATATATGCTCATCGCTTGTACGGACTGATGAGAAACATTCTTTTAGGAGCGTAGTGGAAACAATTGACCCAGCATTATTGCGACATACTAACATAGCAATTGTTTGTGAATTGTTTGTCTGGTTGGCTGTTGTTTATTAATCGTAGGGTTTGTGTTTATATTGTAGAAATTTTATTACGGTCTTGTCTGTTTTTGTGTCACCTCTCTGCGGACCGGCGCTGGGCCGCGGCCCGGTGGTTGCCGACCGCTGCTATAAACCATATAATGAAATTTAAGAGTAAATCTAAGCGTATCTCGAATGCAAAAACCTTCTTGTATTTGTATTTTCACTATTACACAAAAATCACGCAATCGAAGCATATTATGAGCTTGATGTCACAGAAACAAGGGTTCTGTTAGGCATACGTCTAAAACAACAAGAGGGGACGAAATTCGACAATACCGAAAAACTATAAAAAATGTATTTTTTATTCGAGTTAACGGCATGGCCGTACTTTATAAATCTTTATCGACCTTCAAGTGTTAGATATTTGAAAAAACTTTTCGAGTTCACGCGCAATAAATGTACGGGGAAAAAGGAGCCGACAAGCGAAAAGTTGATTTATTATCGCTGAAAAGCGGTTTAAAGCAACACCAAAATGCTTTACTTAGTCCAATTACAAATATCAAAAACTAACTGTTTGTTTGAATCTTTCTTATTTCTAAAAAATGTCAAATATTACTGACCAATTACGTGGGACAGCATCAAAGATTCCATTCGATAATAAAAAAATGTGGGAATGACACTAAAGGTTTCGCTATAGAGGGAAAATAAACTCCCATGCTTGTATATATTAGGACCGTGGGTGTCGCTGTTGGATAACCAGTATTGGTTCGCTGCGACTTTCTTCCCCACTAAAACTGTGTAATTATCATTTCTAGTAATTTGTACTCGAGTGATTTGTCTATATTGTATTTCTTCTTGAAACCATTTATTTTTCACATTCGTCATATTCCACTAAATTAAACTCCAATTCGTGGTATAATGTGTGACCCCAGGCAAAACTGTAATGTAATTCGGAACCCCAGAAGGCATTTGTGTTGAAAATGGCTGCCCGTGAGTAATGGCACAATTTGCTACATTGCGGCTTTCGTATTTTGCGCACTATCGTTGCATATTACCATTTTGTTTAATTCCTAAACTGCCTGGGTGTTTTTGTCAAATTTGTGACACCAAAAAACGAATAACGTACACTGATATCTCTGGATTGACCGTTCGATCAACGTTGGAATCAGAATTTATTATCAAAGATATTTATGTTTTCAAATTTGTATCCTTGTTGGCGACTTTTTGACTATATCCACCGGGACCTCTACCAATTTTATACACGACCTAACACAAGTCAAACGAGTTTTATTGAAAAAACTAATGCGTTACGCTTATATTTACGAAATTCAAATTTAACACATGATGAAAATAATACAATACTTAAATGCTCATGCACACGGATACGAAAGTTAATTGGCACCATTTTTTTCGTACGTTAGCAACATCTGAAGCAGTCTACAAAATTTGAAAACTTATCAAAATAAACAACATATTTTATCTACTGTACTGATAACAATTGCTGCAAAACTAAACATTTGAAACGCGATTCAGTAGTGAAAATGAGAAAACTAATCGATTTAGTGTTTGATATTGAGCCAAAAGTTGGCTTTATCTTTCAGTAAAATTTTGTAAATCCTGTAAAGGCTTTTCTCGGTCGTTTGTAAGCCTATTCAATGTCGAATAGCATGGATTCTTAGAACATGTCGTGACATTCGCCTCGAATTACTTCCATTCTCATGCATGGGTGATTATTCCATGATAATGGGTACAAACGAATAAGGCGACAAATCAGAGGTTTGGGAAACATGTTAATCACTTTAGAATCCTCATCCGTGTTTCCTACAAAGACCTAAAGTAAAAAAACACATCATTTTGCAAAACACGACAAACGTTATTGTTATGATATCAATATCAAAAAGATTATAATGGGAATAGAAATTGATAAATAGAAATGAATAATACAAATTTTGTTGTAATTTCCAGTTTCATCCTGCTTGTATACTTGGGAACCTGCGAATGAATTATTAGTATAGGATAGGATTTACATATTTATTTCTGGGGAGAGGAAAGCCGATAAGGTGGCTTAATCATATGAAAAACCGCGGTCTCTCGTTCGGTTATCAGACCATGTCAGGTACGGGATTGTTAGCCAGTTATTCTTTTCAGATGCATGGAATTGATAGTGGTGAAAGCCGTAACCGACCAGGGGTTAAGTTAATCACTCTACGACAGAGAGGAGTCCCGCAATCATCTTACACATAGCTATTCTCGCATGGGATTCGAAACTGCGAACCCACGCAAGGTAATCAGAGATGCGGTGGCGGGCGTATTTCTATATACCAATGTTTTTTGTTTAGTTGTTTAATTTCTATAGTGGGGTTACGGGCGATCACTGTAATAGCTTGTTATACCGTAGTGATTGCGTGTAGCCAGATTGGTTTTTACCAAATAGAAGCAGCAGATTTTTTTGAATACAATAGCCCTTCATCGTATTATTTTGTTTTTCATCCCTCGTGTACGATTATATAAAAGAAAATTGTGCGATACATACTTTGTCGACAAAATTATCCGTTATAGTTCTCAGAGTAGATGTTGAATTCCCACACGCTACTTTGTATGTTTTTACCCACTGATTGTGGTCCCATCCATATTTAATTGGGCGTCCCTGAGTTACTATTCCACCTATAAATCTCGGACGTTGAAAATCAACCTGAATCCACGGATGATTTGCTGAAAAATAATACTTTATAAATTTATTAGGATTTTTTTGAAAACTGTATACATGTTTTTACGTGTTTAACGCGAAATATTTGCCACCGGATGTTGTTGGACTTGTTAAAATTATCGTTTATTTTTATTTATTTTTTTATTTACCTGATTCAGAGGTTATAATCAAAAAGAGATAGAGAACCGTTGATTAAGTATACAATTTTACATTCAAATAAGGGGACATCGTACTCTTACTAATAATTTAAGTTAGAAAGGGCATGCAAT